GTTGAGTTAAATTCGCCTTCATTCCTGCATCGAGTCGGGACGTGCTGCAGTGGTCCCAGCTTGACTCTCCAGTTCTGCAAAAAATATTCTGCACAGATGGTGATTGAAGTTCAAAGTATGGCATTTCCAGTTTTTTACACACCAGAGGAAGAAATAATGTCTCAGCTAAATTAAATTTTTTTGATGAGGTTAGCTCTTCTTAGCTTGCTCCTTTAGACATGTAGTGGGTTTTGGGTTTATAATGAGAGTACATAATAAAGCAGCCTGAAAAATACAACAATAGATTAAGGTGACACACAATTTTATAAAAGCATTAAAGGAATGCTCTTCACTTGAGAAGAGCAACTGAACAACACAGTTTTTGATTATCACTCTAAAACAGTAACCTTTAAGAAAGTAGTTCAAATCTTGCTTTCTTACATCCACACAGATGGCCAATCACTGAGTGAAGTGGCCGTGATTGTCAGACGGTCGATTTCAGAAGGTTACACTAACTGAAGCGGCCCAATTGATTCGTGCGTGGTAAAGCTATAGGTGGGAAAGATTTCAGATGCCGTTCAATGATGCAACGAGCACTTTTGGCTCAATGATTGCTCTGTGGACGCCGTTAAATGCAGCAACATCTGTGGATTGGTCAGTGCTGTGACACGGTGGAGGATAAAGGTCAGGGGTCAACCATCAAAAACAATCATGGTTGACTGAGCAAACTTCATTTTTACCAACAGAAACACAGCGGGGGGTCACTCTGATGATGCTCTGAAAGCTTGAACTTTTACTTTTGCTCCAGCGGCTACACTAATGCTATTTTTTTTTCTTTAAATACAGATTAAATTCCACTCCTCTCTTATAAGCATAAAAAGCGCAAACGTTTAGGAATGTCGTACGTCAACTATTGAGAAATGGAGGTTGCTAAGTGGAATAGTGACTCCTAAATCAATTATAGTGATTTCCCTGTCTTTGACTGCCCATTGCCTTGGCCTGAAAAAACCTTGAACAAGAACTACAAAGAGAATCAAAGCCTTCCAGCATTTAAATCCCTGCTGTCCCTTCCATTCTCTGACGAGGCTGCACTCCTGTGCTCAGTCTGGGGTTGAGTCCGCTGGCTGCCCTGGCTGACTAATGAAGATAGCAGGGGGTGGGCGTGTTTGTTTGTGTTGCAGCTGAACCACACTGTGCTTAACATGACTCTGGGTTCAAGTGAAGGTTTTGTGTCTTTGTGGCTGCTCAGTGGAAAACATGACTACTGGTCTGAATGACAGATTAAAGCTGTAAACTGAGCAGGGGGCTGAGCGTGGGGGGTGTATGGTGTTCACATGTGTGGAAAAAAAAAAACCTGTACACAAGACACTGGCAGCCAGTTCAGTTCTAGAAATGCATACTTTGCAGAATAAAATCTAGAAACTTCATGTTTAGATATTATTGCAAATAATGAACTGTCTTTCTATTTCATAAAGTGATAACTGATTTTTTTTTTTAGGAATGACTATTATAGTAAAAATAAGATAATCCTGCTGGAAGTGCCCCAGATTGCACTGGGAAATAATGCTCGACATTTGTGTTTGAAATTAGCTACAGATTTTCTTGTAACTATTCAGGTATTGCAACAATGACACTGATGTAAAGATATATAAAATAGCATTAAAGTGAACCACTTTCAATTTTTTTATACTAGAGCTCTTTTACAGTGGCAACCATCCACTTTGGCCTTGGTCCCACTTTGGCAAGTTTAGAGATAAAAGTACCGTATTTTTCGGACTATAAGGTGCACCTGATTACAAGGCGCATTAAGCAAAACAAGTTCATTTTGACAGATTTTTGAGCGCCATGTACCACATAAAATCAGTTTGGGGTTGCCACAGTGAGTCATCCTCCTCCACCTCACTCTGTCCTCTGCATCCTCTGTCCTCACTCTAACATAAGGTGCACTGGATTATAAGGCTCACTGTGGATTTTTGAGAAAATTCAAGGATTTTCAGTGTGCCTTATTGTTCGAACAATACGGTACTTGAAGTAGCTGAAGTCGTTCAAAGATCTACCGCAGGTAAGACTATTTTTTACGACATTTCCACAGAACCATACTTCACAATATTTGAACTACTCCTTTAAAGATACTTCATGTTGGATTTGTGATATACTCATGCTTTAATGATCTAAAACAGGAGTATACATTTAAAATAATTATCCCTGCTTGTACGATTACAGAAGTGCACACTTGCCCTTGTAACATTTTCAAGTCCCGTCTTACTTTGATTTTGCTTCTAAAAAAAAAAAAAAAAGAAACGACTTAACATTAACCACAAATGGAATTTAACGTTTAAATAAATCAATATGCAAACAGCCCAGAGGATATGTAATAAAGCCGCCTAATCAGCTGCAGTTCTTGGTGTGCTTCAAGCACTTGCAGGATATTCATTGGACTGTGGCAAGGACGCTGTGAGAATCTTCCAACTGGTTTGTCACAGAGTGTTGTGACCACTAAAGTGATCACAGCTTATGAAACACATCATTCAAGTCACAAACCACCAATTCTCTGAAAACTGCAGATAAATGCAATTTGTGCTTGTAGTAAATTTGAGCATTTTGTGTCAAAGGGCACTCATGTTACACCATTACTAACCACAGAAGAGTTGATCAAGACTTTAGAAATTGTAGTTGCATAGTAATGCAATAACTCTGATAATGTACTAGTAATCACTGATTCAATCACCTTGGAGTGACATTTAATAGAGCTGAAGAGATTAAATAGTTTGCTAAATGACTTTCCAGATGACTGCAGCTACTGGTATCTCATCACAAACGTAACCTGATCCATCCTTAAATCATCCTGAGTATAGTGACAAATTTCACTTCTCATCTTTTAGTCAGTTTCTTAAATTTATATTTCCTGTGACTTTAAATGACCGTGAAACCAAAGATTAAAGAGATGAAATATACTTCTTTCACTTGCTTCTGGTTGACAGAAACACAAAGATTAATGTGGTGGTGAACATTGGTCCACCTTTAACAGCAACGTTTGTTAATAAATTGAAGAACAGCTCTCCCGTGATTGACAGTATTATTTCAATGGGGACGAGCAGTTCAAAAGCAGGTTAGGAAACCGCTCCTCATTAATTCTCTTAATCCATTATCTACAATTTAACCTTGACCTGCCTTTATCAAATGGCTTCCTAAGAAGATGGGGAGGGAGGGAAAGCGATTGTTTGAAGCGGAAGTAATTTACCTGATGGCAAAAACATTTTCTGCAAAAAAAAAAAAAAAAATCTGTGCTGCTGCTTGCACTGGTCCAATTTGTTACTGACACATAAATGATTAACTCCAAACCAAAAGTGAAAATATTGTTTCACACATAATTACATTTTCTTGAGCTCCTCGCTGGATGTTTTGCATATCAAATTTGGTGCACCTTGTTGCAATCCCAGAGTTTTGATTAAAGATATGAACGTGACGCCTTTCTCGCCCTGTGTTTTGGTAAACACAACAGTGGGCATGGGGACTACAGGAAGGGGCTTCATGTTAGAAGAAGCTGGTATAAAACACTTTTTTTGTCACCTTTTAGGAGAAAATGAGTCATCGATTGATATGGGTGCCAGCTATGACCATCACAGGTGAAAAGCAGCCTAGTGTGAATGTGCAATCCATAAAAAGCAACTAAACATGCCACCATGAGACATTTTACTTGGAAGATTTTACCTGCTAGCAGACATTTTCCCTCCAAGCAGAGGGAAACATTACAGAGTCATTTTGATTGCCTCAAATGATATTCCTGCTGAGGTGATCATCAGCACGTAGCCTGATTAGATATTTCACACATGCAGCTGCTAATTCACAAGAAAAGTATGCCGCCACTGCTTTTAGGGTGGTGGATGATGGAGGGGAATGTTGATAAAAGCGTCCATGTTCAACACAGTGAGTCAGTGTTTCTGACTGCCATGTTCTGCACCGTTCCAACGGGCCCTCGAGCTGTTTTTGTATTCTGCCAGAGTCCTCTTCTCTCAAAAGCCCTGGCTTTGCTGTAGTTCATAACTCTTTATCACACATGCATCATTTTAAATAATAAAAAAAAAAAGCACACAAAACATAACAAAACGTTAAAACGGGTGCGATTTTGCAGGAAACCAGAAACAGATTACGGAAAAGGTTATTAAAAAGAATATAAAGCTGTGTTAATTTTATATGTTAATATTAAACAAGTCACAAAATGCTCAGAGTGTTATATAACATAACTTTTAACTCTAATGTGTTTATTATCCATGGTACTTCACATTAGATATCTTATTGGGAATCACAGAAACTGATCATGCTGTAATAACGATTAGAAAGAACCACCATGAGTTAAAAAAACAGCTCACTTTAATTAAGTTTGGTTAAATTTGCTACTTAATTCACTTAACACTCACATTCAGTTAGCCTTTGGCAGACAATATGCGTCTGGCGCATCGTTTTTATAATTTAATGGCAACTCTAATCACACAAACAATTAGAATTAATAACCAGATGGGCTGTTTTCTAAACTAACTGCGGTTCAGTGCAATATTATTATAACGTAACATGACTTATTTACTGTACTCTATTAGAAAGACCAGTGTTTGAGATGCTAATTGAGAGTTGAACAAAATTTAAGATCCTTTTAGAGAAAATGTGCACAGGCCTTATGAAAAATACTTTCAATGAATCATGTTAGAAGTGTATTGCTGATGTCGCTTGACTGCAAATTTAGCTCAGTAGAGTGTTTTTTTATTAGATTAATATGCCGTCAGAGTTTTACCTTCTTTGCAACATAGACTGCTCTTAAATTACTCATACAAAGTCAACAACTGCCTTCGCTAGCTCTGAAACGTGTCCCACCATCCATCCTGTCGCTGTGTTTTAACCCAGATCCCTCTCTTCTTCTTTTACTATGCATTACATAAAGAGCGATAGGATTTATAGCAGACCTTGCTTGCACACATCTCTGTCACATCATTTCTCTTTCTGAGGTCATCCCATCCATCCTACCCTACCTCCTTGGAGGGGACTCTGGATCCCTTCCGTCGTGACCACCAGCTTTCCACCATAGCAATGAGGCAGGAGAGCACCACGCCAGCTGCCAGGACGCAGAAGACGCCAGCAAAGCTGTGGATATCGAGGGCGTTGCCACGCTGTCGTGTCTGCTCTAAGCTGTAGAGGTCACAGGGGCTGTCCTTGGGCCACCACTTGAGTTTTAGGATATCCATGTCCCCATTCTGCTGCAGTTCCAGGATTCTAGGACACGTGGACAAACAGATGCATGTAAGCATGTTTTTTTTTTTTTAAACATATGAAAATAATCTGCAAATTGAAGCCCATTTAAATATCACACGCCTATTGTGAAATCAAATAACTTATGAAGCTTCAAACTGCTGAGAATACAAACACAGAGAACGCATTAAGCAGCCAGTAAATATGCAGATAAATGAGCAGCAAGCCAGACAAAGCATTCAGTTTGAATAATCAGGTAATTGATGGCATTCAAGTACCAGTTAAAATATTACTTTGTCAAAAGAGTTCTTGCTCATTAAAAAACAGCCATGGAAAATAAATTATGTGCACAAATCAATACCATAAAACCCAAACACTGCAGCTTTTTACTGCAGTTGCTGGAACTCCTGCCTGCCATTTGAGGGCAGTGTTGGCCAGTTCAAAAACTTCATCCTCACTGACAACCATATTGGGCTGTCAAACTCATTATGGCTAACATTAATATGTTTTGCAGCACAGCGCAAGTACACTGCCACAATGTCATTATGCGGCTTAGCTTTAGTCGCACGATTGATGGCTTCAGAGAGGATACAGCTCAGAGGTTGATGGGGTCCCTCTGTTAGCCTTCAGCTTATTATTTAACTGGGTCGTTCATTTTGGTTTGGAGGAAAGCTGCAGACAAACACACACACAGCGACAGGCTTAAAGATATTTAACAAATCTGGTATGTGGGGAGGGGGTGGTAAAAGAAAGACATACAATAATGAAGAAGGCATCCACCCCCCACACGTCAGAGACATATTCCTATTAACAGAGATAACAAATAATAATCCAGCATGTGTAAACTGAGCCAGCACAGACGACGGTCAATCCACAACAAACATCCTTCAAGCCAGGCAGTCGCAAACTTCACTGCATTTGTGTCCAAGCAACCAAAACAAGGATATCAACATATGCACATCGAGACAATGATTAAAACTTTCAGTGATGACATGAATGGAAGCGCTTATCTCTCATGTTCATTTTTCCTCGTACAGAACTCAAAATGAATATTGAAATCAATCACAAAATGCAAATGAGCCCTGCAGCTAAATAATTCATCTGCAGTAACAGGGAAAACGAGCCATTTTGACGTGAATCAGACAAACAGGCTAACATGTCACTTTTGAACTGTGGCAATCTCTTTCTGAGACAATCTCTTTCGCTTTGTGATCCGATAGCTTTAAATAACCACAAGTTTAGAAGCCAGAAAAGTCATTCTAATAAGACATCATGCCCATTTTCTGTGTCAAACCAGTATATATTATCTCCAACAGAACATTTTTATTAATATTAACATGCAACATATAGAAAAAACAAAACAAAACGGGTTTTGTGGTGATGATAGCATTGAATGTTAGAAATGTCAGTTTTTCCCTGTGCTATTTGCTCTTCCATTTCATATTTATGAAACATTTAGAAAAAAAGCTTTTTCTGATCTCTTACAAAAACAGTTATCGTATTTTCCGGTGTATAAGTCGCAGTTTTTTTGCATAGATTTGTCAGTCATGTGACTAATACGCTGAAGCGACATAAACTTTTTTTTTTTTCCATATTCATAACAATTTTGACTGATGCTTTAAATTTCTAAGAACTGCAACAGCGAGTCCTCCTGTGTGCACTCGTTTCACGCAGCTGGTGCAGGTGGAGGAACGCTGGAGAGATAGTGGCTTTGGCCACAATGGATGTATAGATGGATGGAGCCGCGCCACCCAGGTGAAATGAAGCTGTTTGACATTAAAGTGCATTTATTAAGGAAAAGTTAAACTGAGACACACCTTTGCTATAATGTCGAACAAACAAATAATTGTTTTAAAGTGTTAATTTTGTGAAATTTTGAAAAACTGCAACAGCGAGTCCTCCCGTGCGCGTTCGCTTCTCTCAGCTGGTGCAGGCAGAAGAACACTGGCAAGCTAGTGGCTCCGGTCATGATGGATGGATGGATGGATGGATGGATGGATGGATGGATGGATGGATGGCGCTGCACCGCCCAGGCAAAATTAAGCTGTTTTGACCATTAAATAAACACATAATAAACGTGATGGATCAGCGGTGACACAATAAACGTGACTTATACGCTATAGCGACTTATATGTTTTTTTCCTCTTCATGATGCTTTTTTTTGATTGATGCGACTTATACACTGGAAAAATACAGTATGTTGCACACGTTTGTCGTAAAGCACCTACATGAAAATGTACATGAACGCTTCCTCCAAATATATTTCCAGCTGTGTCACTTATAGCAGCAACAACTGAAAACAAATACAGCTTCTAAGCAGAACTGCTTAAGTGCAGCGAGGGGATTCTTTGCAGCCATGAACTGAGGATGCTGCTACAGCATCATCAGCAGGAACACCTTCCAAAACTACCACTATGTCCACAGAGGTGTAGTCATTCATATAGTTGGGACTATATTGCAACTTGTTGGTGTTGTCCTGAAGAATAATTTCTCATGATTATTTATGTAGTGTTTGACTTTCCTTTATGAAATTAGGAACTTGATTCCTGGTCGATGTATAGTAAGTAGATTGCTTTCTTTTGTGTTTATGTAATATCTAGTTTCCCCCAAAGGTTCAAACGTCTGAGGCTTTTAAAGATGAGTTGTAAGAATCCTTAGCTGAAACTGGATGTTTTCCTAGGTTAGCAGTGATTTTGATCGTGCCATGCCTCCCATGGATGTTTTTATTGCTCCTGTCAATCAGAGAGTGGAGTCAAGAACGCTGACCTTTACTGGAGCAAGAGACTTTCACTCCCTTGCTGGGATTTCTTGGATCGTTTGAGTGATTTTGAAAGGGTTTTTTTTTCATGGCCCCTATCATTAATATCTGACTGTAGAATAAGTACTAATGTCTTTAATACTGCATTTTACAAAAGGAGACCCCATATTAAACCCTCTTTCATTCATTTACTAACCTCAACATAAATTAACTGCTGATGGCCTAAATTAACTACATATATGAATTAGCTCAACCTTAAACATCCAAAGCAAAGTAAGATGCACACCAAGGAATAAGAATAACGTAAAATAAATCATCATTTGATGTGCATCTGCAGCTGAATAACATTTGAGGTTAACTCAATACAAGATTCCTGCCACAACCAACTGACCTTAGAAAACACTGATATTTTAGAGCTTTTAGGCTAAATTTTGGTGTGGTAGTAGCCGAGCATCATCCTTAAAAGATAATGATACTGAGTGCTACACTTATTGCAACATTTTTGCTTAAAACTTTCACATTTATTGTTGTGCAAGCAAATTATCCTATGAACCAGCTGACGGAGTTTAATGAAAGTAAACACTTGATGTACAACAGATTAACTGATGACTAATTGACTTTGGCTAACTTTAGGCCTATAAATGTGAATACTTTGAGTTGAAATCAAATTAAATTTGGTTAAATGGAAGAAGAAAGAAATGGTCCTCTGCTTCCACCATCAGGAGCATTAATCTAACTGCAGATCTGCAGGCTGGTTTGCAAACAAGAATGAAAAGTTGCAGATTTAATTACATCGTCTTTCACAGAAACAATTGCAAACACCCACTTTAAAAGAAACACATTACCATTAAAAACAAACAAACAAAAAAACAACAGATTTTTAATAAGTGCCCAGTGTAAGGTGTGGTAGCACTTTCTTCACACCTGTTTGTGTCTGTATTGTCATTGCAAAATGCCAAGTGATGGTGGGAACGCCTGCTGACATTTAAAAGCACGCAAGTCATGGCCCTTCTGACTTCCTACACAACTTGCAGCAATAGTACCTGTTTGCTGGGAAATGGTATAAAGCTGTTTATTTTTAATTGGTAATTTATGTTTATCAAAAGGTGCAAAAAGCTAATTATATTAAAAAATGGCTTGTATGAAATGTTATACACAGTGCAGTGTGTTATTAAGCATTTAGATGTGACATTTATTTATAACACACAAGTTAGTTTTTTCATGCATGATGAATGCTCAAATTGTCCGTTGTTTTATAAGTTAAGTTACTTTGTTACTTGTTAAAGTTATATTTATAAAAACATAGTAACTGGTTGTATTTATGGTGAGACTTGTAATTGAAAAAGATAGCCAGTTAGAAGCTGTTCAGCATCTTGAAGTTCACAATAATTGGCCGCTGAGTGATGACCCCTGTCAGTGGTTTAGTGCTTTTAAGGGTGGAAACCATTTAATCATTTAACCCATGATGACCCAATGCAATATGTATGCATTTATACCCTTCAAGACTGGAGGAATGGACATGCCTCATAAATATATTCAAGACATGCAAAATATTGCAACAAAAAAAGAAGCCAAACACCAGAACACAAAAGTCTACATTTGAACTGAAATAATGTTGTTTTTTTTTTTATTTGACCTCTCTTGTTTCTTCAGGAATAACAAATAATAGAGATAAGTGCACATTTTTTTATTTTTTTTTCCCACAATCTTCAAGACTTTGAGGCTCTTTTATTGAAAGCCTAGGCTGTAGGTTTTATGAATCAGATTTAGTTAAGTCTAAATTACACTTTTTATGTGTTTAACATAGAGTTTTTCTTTGTTCATTTTCTTTAAACTTTGTTCAGAATGTTTAAATGAAGGCTTTAAAAAAAAAGAAATAGGTGATGTAGCAGATTGAAAATGACACGAGTGGAATGCACTTTGCTGAACTGTGCCACGCTTTATGAAACTTTTGATTCGCTCAGAAAGCTATACATGGTAAAATCAAACAAAAATGTGTCAGACAGTGTTCTGAGAGCTTTGTGTGACTTCTCACTGTGGGCATCAAACTTAAAAATGATAATCTAAAGTGACACCCAGATATTTTTATTCACACACTATCTTCAGTTGCGTATTGGGCACCGCTTTAAAAATACCAGCACATTTCTCTTTAATCAGAAAACACTGACACCCTTTAGGTATGGTTCAGTGCCAAGCACTTAATCTGCTTCTAAAATTTGCCACGCATCCTTGCCAGTTTGTTTCTGCTGAGAGTATCACAGAGAAA